GTAAAAAATGTTAAAAAAAAAAAAACTAACAAACAACTAATCGTCATGGTAACACTCCTGAGCTACAGTCCAGCCCCACCATCCTTGCAGCCCTGACACTGACAAAGGAGCCAGAGTAACCGGAGCAGAGCGCAGATTCCATTGCAACCTGGTGACTTGCATCAGTCTGGTGCCCTCTGAATCACGGTGCTTGGAATTTTGTTCCCTTAAGGAACTGTTTATTTTTCCAGGCTGGCAAGTGCATCGGGAACTTGGCTGCTGGTAATCATCACTAAACAAATACCTCAACACCTTTTCTGAGAATTATCAGAGCTTAGGAGTTCATTGAAAATGGGCCATTTATCACCAACGGGAAGGACCCCAAGAGAGTCTGTGGGGAATTATTTCAGCGCAGAAACATTCAGCCATGTGGCATTTATCAGAAGAGCCTTGAGCATCAATCAGATGGGGGTCTGTATTGGGACGGCTCTGTGCTGACCCCCTGCAGGTAATGACCTGTGAGCCATAGTTACCTGCCTTATTCCCAGAGACCACATATGGACAGCAGTAAGCCATTGCCCATACCCTGCTTACATCTCCATGAGCGGGGGTCCAGCCTGATTGCTGTAACAGCGGGTGTTGGTTCAGTCTAACCAGTTTGGGTGGAATGGCTGACACGGAGTGGAGTGCCTAAGTGTCTGCTCGGCTGATCTGCCTTCTGTTTTAGATAAGATTGGGGCCTTTAGCACCTTAGATGGTCTTGTGTAGTCTCTGCTTCTCTAGATGCTGTGACAAAAAGAGACAACAACAACAAAAAAAAGCCTGATAAAAGCAACATAAGAAACGGTCGATTGTGGCTCACAGCTCCAGAGCACAGTCCCTCAGGGGGGAGGGTGTGGTGGCGGGGACTCAAGGCAGCTTATCACATGGCATCCTCAGTCAGGAAGCGGAGAGATGGATGCTGGGGCTCAGCTCACCATCTCAGGTTTTACTCAGTCAAGCACACAGGGTGGTGCTGCTCACAGTTAGGTTTAGGGTGGGTCTTCCCACCCCAGGTTAACCCAATCTAGAAAATTGCTCTCAGCCACGCCCAGAAGTCTCTGCTCTTGGTGACTCTAAGTTCCATCAAGTCCACAGTCAAGACTGACCGTCACACCCTAAAAAACTCAGCCACCATTGTACACGGTGCATCGTTTGCAGAATCAGGATGCTTTGCAGGGAGTTCTGGTCGCCTATGCACCTCTAACAGAGCCTGAGGTAGGACAGGTCATAAAGGTTTTGTGGAAAATCCTGTAAACTGGGCTGAAGAAAGGATTCCATGTGACCATTATCCAGGATTTAAGGATCACTGCCAGAACCCTGGGACCACCCTGTCTCCTACCAGGGCACTCAAGTGTTTATAGTGCACCTACCCTAGAAGCATAGAAAGTCACAGCTAAGGAACAACATTTACCAAGAAGCAGCAGAGTAGAGCTGGGAGTCTGGCTCAGTGGCTAGTATGCCTGTTTAAAATACAGGCATCCCTGGGTTCTATCTCCAACACCGCATAAACCCACTGTGGTGGCTCACACCGTCATCACAGAGTTTGAGAGGTGGGGACAAAGATAATAGTGTAAACTCCTCCGTGCTGCACAGGAAAACTGAGAGGAAGAACTTGGCTACATGAGACCATGTTTCAGGAAGGAAAGATGGGAGGGAGGGAGGGAGTAAGGGAGGGAGGGAGGGAGGGAGAGAGGGAAGGAAGGAGGGAGGGAGGGAGGGACAGACGGAGGGAGGGAGGGACAGAGGGAGGGAGAGAAGGAAGGGAGAAATAAATAGCAGGGGAAATCACAAGCAGGACATTGCCTGTCAAGTGTCGAGCACAAACTTCAGAGCACAGATACCTTCAAAGTCACTAGATACGCTTCACCAAATGAAGCAGGGAAAGGCTGAGGAGATGTCTAGTTAGCAAGGTGCTTGCTGGACAAGCAGGAGCACCTGAGTTCAGCATCCTAGCATGAATGTAAAAAACTAGGTATAACACCCTGCATCTGTAATCCCAGAACTGAGGAGGCAGAGGCAGGTGGCTTTTTGGTCATCTTCGGTGAATTGCCAAGATATAGGATCATCAAAAGACCCCACCTGTCTCAAAAAAGGTGAGGTGGAGAACAAAAGAGAAAGACACCAGGCGTCTACCCCTGGGCAACACACACACACACACACAGGCTGGAGGCAGGGAATATATCCTGCCTAGCACCTCTTCTACTCCTGATACCTGTCAGTGAGCAGCATAATGCCAGAAGCCTCAGAGAGACCTGTGCAGGTGAAGCAAACAGATAATGCCTTTCAGCAGAACAGGGAGAAGCTGCAACATGCAGGATCCAGAACTGCATCGAACACCAGGCAGGCCTCAGGCAAGTTCCAGAGCTGTAGTGGGCTCAGGGGCTGCAGTGGGCTCAGAGGTTGTAGTGGGCTCAGAGGTTGCAGTAAACTCAGGGGCTGCAGTTGGCTCAGGGGCTGCAGTGAACTCAGGGGCTGTGGTGGACTTGGGCTGCAGTGAACTCAAGGGCTGTTGTGAACTTAGGGGGCTGCAGCGGACTCAGGGGCTGCAGTGGACTCCTGGCTGTAGTTTATTCCCATGGATCAAGTAGGCATGGTCTCACTGATCCCAGGGAGTAGAACCTGCCCTTGCCTTGAAGCTGAGGGGAGACTGAGGTTCTCTTCCTCTTCATCTAATGAAAGAAAGCCAGGAAATGTCACCGAGCTGGGCCTGGAGCTTCACACCCATTTGGGGACAGAGGAAAGTAGAGGATAGTGGCAATTAAGTTGTCATGCAGAGCAGAGCCAAGCTGCCTGTTGGCCAAGTGACTGAGGGCACTGTAGTCCTAAAAAAGCTGCTTCATAGGAACCCCAACGTTGTTAGAGAATGTCATACGTGAATATAATACATTCTTGCTCATACCCTCCTTCTGGCTTCTCCTGTGTACCCCCATCCAGATTTTCCTCTCAACTTACTGTCCTAGCTTTTAAAATATCTAACCTACTGAGCCCAGTTGCCTGTGTGCCCATGGGTGTAGTACCGACCCCTAGAGAGCAGACAACCAGCCAAGGACCAGGACCCTGACAGAAAATATCTGTCTCCTAGTACCACCTGCTCCAGGAGTGGCTTTGCAGGCTCTGCTCCCATCCGTGTGGGGGTGTTGACTGACTTATCTTCCACAAGTCTTGTGAAGGCAGCCACAGGTCTTGAGAGATCATGAGTGCAATGACAAATTTGACTTAAGTTTGAAACCACCTAGAAAGCACACAAGGGTGTGCCTGAGAGGGTGTTTCCAGAGCAATGTAACTGAACTAGGAAGTCCTGTCCTGCATGTGGGTGGTACCATCCTATGGGGTAGGGTCCCAGATTAATAAGAAAGGGGGGAGAGAGCTGGACAGCAGCATTCAACACTGGCTGCCTCCCCAACTGTAGATGCAATGTGACCAGATGTGACCAGATGTGACCAGATGTGACCAGATGTGACGACGAGACACCTGCTCCCTTACCAAGCATAATATGTAGCAATGTTATTAAATACATATAAATACATACACTTTAGGCAGAGGATATCCAGTACTGGTCACCCTTGCAAAAATGGGAACAGAGATAGACAAGCACTGTCAACTGGTGATGTTTTATTTCTTTGGAATATTTTATAGATCTTAGTAACGAATAAAGACATCTCAATTATTTAAAAATATTTATATTTGAACTACTTCAGATATTTCACAGATTGTTAAAAGGTAATGAATTTCAAAGCCCAATATATAAAATGTCTTGGACATACTTTTGTTTTTGTTTTCGAGACAGGGTTTCTCTGTATAGCCCAGGCTGTCCTGGAACTCACTCTGTAGACCAGGCTGGCCTCGAACTCAGAAATCCGCCTGCCTCTGCCTCCCAAGTGCTAGGATTAAAGGCGTGTACCACCGCTGCCTGGATGGACATACTTTTAAAAGTCAAATTTATAGTTCACTAAATGGTTACTGAAAACCAAATATTTATTGAAGTGTGTGTGTGTGTGTGTGTGCGCGCATGTGTCCATGAATCTGGGATATCACTGAAATTCCTATACATATGACTCTACCAGAATGCAAGGAACCCTGGCATTGCTGGTGAGGCCTAGAATCGTGTGTGGTGGGGAAGTCCAGCAGGTCAGATAGGTACCTCCCAAGAAAGCAGAGTCCCCTAACCCAGCAGCTCCACCCACAGTGACTACAACGAAGTTCTCTCAAGAGTGTCAATGGGAGGTGGAGCTCATTTGGTAGACTGCCTACTATGTTCACAAAGCCCTGGGTTCTATCCTCAGCCCTGCATGGTACCATATGGTGGTGTATGCCTTCAATCCCACCACTCAAGAGGTAGAGGAAAGAAGACCAGAAACTCAAGATCTTCCTTGGTGTGATGGCTAGTGTTAAGTATTAACACGACACAATCTAGAATCACCAGAAAAGAGTCTCAGTGAGAGATTGTCTAGATCACGTTGGCCTGTGGGCATGTCTATGAGGGGTTATCTTGATTGCAATGGGAAGACTTGCCCACAGTGGGTGGCGCCATTCCCTGGTCATAGGATCCTGAACTGTGTAAGAGGGAGCAAGAGAGCTAAGCACAAGCAATTACATCATTGTTCCCTGCTCTTAGTGGACGTAGCTGCTTCAAGTTCCTGCTGCCTCAGTTTCTCTACAGCAATGGCAACAACCTGGCATTGTGAACCGAACAAACCCATTCCCCCTTAAGTTGCTTCTATCAAGGCATTTTGTCACAGCAACTGGAAACTGAACTCAGATACTTGGTCACATAGGATGTTGGATGCCAGCCCAGGCTACATGAGAGTCTATTTTAAAACAAATTGTTTTGTTGGTGAGAGACAGGAAGGGCCAACTGGGGTCCCGGTGACATTTACGCTGCTAGCTGTGCTTCCTGAGTCTCTACTCCTTTCTAGGCTCATTATAAGAAAGTTTAGGAAAATGATGTGTTCCATTTCTTTCTTGCGCTTATTTTGCAGCAAAAGCTATGTGATCCCCTTGCAGTGCAGCTGCCCCGTGGATTTTGAATTCCATATCACGTTGCTTCGGTCTCATCAGGCCTTTACAATTGAGCCAAAGTCAGGTGAGGACGGTTGTGACTTCAGACACCCAATTGCCACAGTGATCTCAGGTCAGAGGCGGGGCTTGAAACGATAGATAGTTGCATTCCTTGTTGCTGTAGCA